GCTCAGTTGGCCGCACCGTTTGTGTGCACCAGCTCCACTGTGAAGGAGGCTAAGCTAAGAAGCTAACCGGGAAGCGCGTGTGCTGTAAACAACCCTACTGATACGAGAGAAGTACCGAGCTGAACAAGACGACTGTAAATGAGAGCTGCTGCTTTGTCAGACAAATTTAATTTAATTTGGAAGCCTTATCAACACAGACTGGCTTCATTCACTTCCTCCACTGCCGTATGCTAAACTAACTACCAGACACTGCGCAGAAAATTGACGTCGTTCAAAACTTTCTGTTCTCTGATTGGCCCGAATGAAATTCTCCTGAAGAAATCCTTGTCTAYGGGAGAAATCCCAGACGRAGCARTGAAGGGAAACTAGAATTGAGCGGAGCTGTGTTGGAAGGCAAGGGCCAGAGCTAGGCCTATTTCCTAGGCCCATTTCCTAGGAGACGCTAGGTAGCTTCAGGTAAACAAAACTCACCAAAGGAAATCTCGTCTGCAGCATCTGTAGGTCATCGTAGCCRTACACCTGAGGCTGTGTTGAGGAGGAGAGGGAATAAAAAATAAGAGTTCCAAACTCAAATACATGACAAAAATAATCATCTCAGATCAAAGTGTGAGACTTACTGGGTAGGCGTGCAGTAGTCCAGGAGCCATAATGTAWGGGTTGGGCAGTAGAGGGGGCACTCCAGGTGGCAGGTTTGGAGGAGCTTTCCCTGTTTGAMAAAACATTTGTAAACTGATATAACTATGACTTGTTCCTTAACCTTCTTCAACAAAAAACATGAGTTGATAATAAGCCACAGTAATTATATTGTAGCCTAAAATATAGGATTTTAGCCGCTACAATAATAATGGGTATTTTAAGGAGTGTCCAACCTGAGGATGCTGCAGAGCTGCGTGTGGAAGAAGACGTCGCTGAAGAGGGGATGGTCGAGGGTGCTGTAGAGATGGACACTGCGGCAGGGACCRCTGACGGGGCACCCATCGAGGGAGCGTTGAGGCCCATGGTCAGGCTGCTGACTGGGCCTTGGCCAGAGGGTGTCGAGACTGTAGCAGGGCCCACCGAGGGAGCCTGAGGAGCCCCCAGTGACACCTGTGCAGCTGCCATGGAAGAGGAGGATTGTACTGGTGAAGGAGGCACGGCCGAGACAGAGGAAGGGAAGGAGGAATGCAGACTCAAGTCACCGTCTACGTTGGGATGCTGTAGAGACAAAAAGCAGATGTGCTTAWGATGGATGAAATTACATTTCCATTAAAGTGAGTGGACATTAATGTGTCCAAATACAACGGAAGGAAATGCAGCTAACAGACRATGGAGGGGAGAAAGAGGCATAAAGCATTCATACTTCCTGCCAGTTAAAGAGCTCACCAATAAGCTTGAGTTTGAAGTCCGAACTGAAGATGGAGCAAGGTTGTTCTGTTGTGATGGATGTGAGCTGTGAAGGATCAGAAAATAAATCACGTCTCACTTTGATTTCAYGATGAAATTAGGCACGAGTTGTGTWATTGATTTGCAYCCTACTTGTTGTGCTGTGGAGGGGGGATGGAGCTTGGGGGCAGGTCTTCGTTGTCCCCCAGGGCGCTCAGGGTGGTCTGATTGGTCGTGGTCAGTAACGAGGCAGGACCCGAACCGCTGTCTGCCAGGGTRCCCAAGCTGGAGACGGAGGATGGCGTGACCAAATCAGAAGCCGACTTTACTGATACTGCAGAAACTGCTGAAGACGAGAAAAGAGACTCAAATGAAAAAATCTGATTTTACTAATATTATCATTTAGAATAAGGAAAACAGAATCTTACCTTCCACAGACTGAGCTGCTTGTATTGAACTGTAACCATTCTGTAAAAGCAATGATCAATGTGAGCTCACGGGTTATTAATATGAAGTTTAAAAGGTGCTGGGCTGTTGAATTATGTATCAAAAAACTGTTGCTGTATATGTAGTCACACATAAAGGGCAGGAGATCCTTTCTGTTGTGAAAATTAAGAGTTTCTGATTATTTTGAATCAGAGGTTGAATCTCAACGAAAAGCATCCTYGATGTTTTCGTGTCTGTTTTTGTTTTTCTCTCAGGATGAATGGTAGCTCAAAGTAAAACTATAAGTAGGGTTTGACAACATTAGCTTAGCAGAACCTCATGAAACTATTGAAACTAGAGAATAAAGCAGAGATGGGCAACAATTCTGTCCGGCCCACCAAAAAACAAATATATCTTCTTTTATTATTTTTTTTAGGGAGGTAGACTATCTGTTCACAAAACTTCAAGGCAAACCTTTGTGTTAATGCTTAGAGACGCTGCCATGAAGGATAAGTCACCACTACAACACGTTGCACAAAGCTAAATATGAGAATATTGACGTCRCATAATACCAGAACCACAACCACRCAGGAGTCRGTACTCAAGRTGTCTTATGYTGTTACACTTCAGTTCGCCAAAGCAAGTGTTTATTTGCTTCAAACTTTTTGTATCCATATTAATCAAACAAGAGTACAATTRTTTTACATGCATTTGAGCWTGAAATACGTTAAGTAACTGCACTGTATGTTGGTTTAATAAACAGAAATACATACAAACATTTTAAAAATAGTAGTTTTTTTTTTTACATTTGGGTAAATGTGCACCCTTCTGGTAKYGTCAAMAAAAGAATTGTGGCACCTTYCATCATCTAAGTTGCCCATCCCTGTGACAAGAGCATCATCATCTTCACAAACGGTGAAGTTTTATAACTACAAAACTATTTACAAAGTTTCCAACAAGTCATTTTAAGAGAAATGAACAGGATGGAGCTGAGCACACTGGCTCTTCATTCTGCTACAATAACATGAATAAATATTTTGTTTCATTTTGTAAGTGAAACTTTGGTCTTACCTTGGACTGCATATCCTTCTGAGGAGAGGAGGAGACTGAAGGAGGGTAACGACGTGTTTGAGGTGCTCTCTGATCATACATCTCCATTTGGCTTGAATTGGAAAGGACTGGCGTTGACTCACTGGAATAAGTGAACAGATTATCAAAAACAAAAAATATATAGTGATTCTGACTTGAATACAAGTTAGATTGTGTTCCCTTCCTTGTAAAATATTCTTTTTATACTTGTACACACTTCATTCTGTTGAATATTTGGAATTTACCAACCTGCTGGGACTCGTGTACAGGCTGTTCTGAACTTGGTTACCAGGTGTCGTCGTGGCAGGGGTGGACTCGTACTCTTGTAGAACAGGTTCTGACCCAAACTGCAGCGCTCCAAACTGAAGATTGAGGCCTGAGATGTCTGTCGATCCAGGCATCTCCACTGCCATGGCTGGAATCTGGGTAGAAAAAATACRAACAATATTTGAGTTCTCTTATTATTAGTACTGTGTCCTAACAGGAACGTTTGCTTTCTTCATTTTAAACAAAAGTTGTGTCAATTATTACATTTTCAGGAGAATTAAGGAGCTGTGATGTGTAAATTTAAACTTAATGATGCTCTAAACAAAAACAGTGACTCAAATGAACAATTTTAATAAAATCTAATAAAGCCAGTAATGCTCAGCCTTAGTCCTCGAGGGCTTCTATCCTGCATGTTATAGCGGTCACATATTCATTCAACTCAGTGTTACAAAAAGAAACACACTATTTTAAAGTTTTTGTAAAACAAAAACAAAAAAGAAAAAAAACTTTGTAAATAAGATTTATTCAGCTAAACAAAATATCAGCATAAAATCAATCCTTGGACATGGGAAATATCTAAAAACAGATGTTTTTTCTGCTTTGACACACTTGATCTAAATAAAYGAGTGATTAAAAGGCATGAATGCATCCTGAAGAGCAGAGTAACAACTAAAACATGCAGGATAGTGGCCCCAGTGTTTAATTCAAATACATCTATTGTCCCTTTTATATAAAAATATTCACAAGTCAGAAAGCAACTAAACAGATCAGGTCTGAACAAGCACAATATGTAACAACTTGTTTTTCCTTGTAGCAAGTCAAGGTTTTTAGTTTTTTAGTTTCCTTCCAGCTCTGAATATCACCTTTGTTGTGATGGAGGTCCTCTTCTTTTGCTGTTTGAGTTTGTGTTGCTGCAGAGGCAGTGGACTTGAACCCTGGTTATCTGAGGAACTTGGGGAGACCTGCTGACCTAGAGAAGGTACAGCTGCCATTTTGGGGAGGGAGGACGCAGGCGGCGGCACCGCGTGGGGCGATGAGGTCGTCTGTGGCGGTAAGGAGGACGACGAGGAGACGGAGGAGGAAGGAGGCAGCCCTTTGTCCTGCAGGAAAACATCCAACATGGACGAGGTTGAGGAGGCAGCCTGGTAGGGCTGTCGCTTTGTAAAGGGTGTGTGGATCCCAGACTCGGACTGAGTCTTCATATCTGCGAAGGGGCAAAAACTGTGTTAAAGCGAACCACCTGAAAGCAGCTGAATGATTATTGCTGAAATGTTTTATCTCACCATATTGTCCCAGTGAGGAGGCACTGGTGTCCCAGGACGAAGGAGCTGTACTGGGAGGTCCAGTCTGGGAGTGCTGTGCAGCAAGCTGAGCCAGTGCCTGGGCTGTTTTATACTGCTCCAGGAACTGGGAGCCGGTGGTCCCTGTGCTAGCCCCTTTGGGTTCTCCAACTTCTCCAAATCCCTTGCTCAGCATGCTGGCCTGCAGAGTTGGTCAATCATAAAACACCCTTTAGGGCTGCAACTAACGATTATTTTAATAATCGATTCATCTGTTGATTATTTTTTGATTAATCGGCCAAATCATTAAAACAACTTAATTACATAAATATAAGTAGATATAAATCAATTTAATTCCTGTATAAATTAGGGTTGCAAGTTATCGATTAATGTGAAGTTGTCTGAAGTTGATTTATCTTATAGATCGACTAACAATTAATTGATAAGCAGCCATTTCCTTAAAAACAAGAGTTTTCTATTGAATCAAGAGGGTCTTTTCATAACATGAAGGATTTTTAAATAATATGGTAAATAAATACAACAATTGATTTTTCCAGCCATATTAAACACTGACTGGGAAAAAAAAAACAAAAATGTAGATTTCTCAGGCATTAATTAACTTGGTTATATCTATAAAACATAACAAAACAGAAATATAATCGGTTGCTGAATGAGGAGAACTGATAAAAAGAATAAAATATGTTTTTTAGATGTAAAAGTATAATTAAATTGTTATTATAATTAGTATTTATTTGCATTTAGAATTTATGATTTTTCTCTAACTCTACGTTTTGCTTCCTTCTTGATTGTTCCTTCTGTAGCTAAAACTGTGTTTTATGACCCAGTAAGCGGTTCTGAAGCAGCCCCCCAAAATAAAAAAAATTTAATAAAAAACGCAAATAGCCTCATCTTGTCTCCTAATAAAAAAGAATGTAGTTTAGATGAAGGAAATCAAGAGAGTATCGACATCAGGAGCCAAGTYGAAGGTTCAGTGATCGTTGCAGTGTTGCTGTGGGTTCTCACCATGCTGTGCTGAGAATAAGGAGGGTTGGAGGGTGTTTGGGAGAGTGGCACTCCTTGCTTRGAGTTGCTAAAAACCAGAGACTGAGACAGAGAAGGCGGCTGGGCAGCCTCCATGGGGGTGTTTTCTGTCTCGGAGGAGGAAGAGGGAGGAGTCTTTCCCAGCAGCACCGCAAGGTCAATCCTACGGACAGAAAGAAAAAACGTATTCATCACTGATAAAAATATTATTTTATTCAACTCTAATTTCTAGTTTTGTTATTAAAATGATCTGCAAATCCTTTTTCTTTAATTGTTTGGCTCAGAGTRACCCACCTCTGTCCTTTGGTGATTGTAACATTCTCTTGTGGCAGAGGCATTGATGCCACACTGGAGGCTGTGAAAATTTTGGTCTCTGATAGCTGCAGAAGAAAAGAAACAAAACAAAACACAAGATAAAGTTGGAAGGAAGTATGTCAACACCCTCGGAGCCAGAAAGAACCATTTCTGCCTCAGCAACATCACTGTAAATACTGTTAGAGATCAAACTATCCCCAGGAAGTGCTTATACTTTTAAAATCCAAACAGAACACTCACATCTTCATTCCAGTCCTCKGTACCCCACTCCTCTGGGGCAGACCTCCAGGCACCTGAGAGTCAACAAAACTGTCAAGTTTTGTTTTTGTTGCAGACAAACTGAGCTTCAATAGAAGTGTGAAAAGGGTCTCACCAGGAGCAGACTCAAACTTGGGTGGGTAATTTGTTCCCTCTCCTGCAGAGTACTCCAACCCTGAAAGATCGATTAGGATATGAAGAATAATGAAACACAGCAGCTTTGATACAAACAACAACTACAGTTGTTTGTTCTAACAGAGAAACTTTTTAAAACCAGGTCTGGGAGTGGATATCTTCGTAAATTAAACTTATAATCCAGACTTCAAGAAATGAGCGAACCCTTCTTTCATCTTAGATTTACAACCTTTTTCGAAGCATGAATATTTGGATGCTGGGCAGATGAGAAAAAAACATTTTCTAAGCAACGACTTCACAGATGAATTAACTTACTTGCTCCCTCCTCTAACTCCACGTTTCCCGTGTTGTTCCAGGTGCTGCCCCCTCCATAGTTGTCTTCTGTTTGGGCTGGTTCTGCATAGTCAGCAGGGTTGAAAGTTCTGGTAAAGAGAGATAAAAAGTGAGTCAAGTGCTGAACATCCACTAACAGCTTAAAGAGGTTAACTAGAGCTGTTAACCAGGGGAAATAATTAAGTGTTGAACAAACAAGTGATTGTGAATGACTCAGAGCTCTTACCACACCAAATTTAATTTGTATGTAGGTCTGTAAGAGTAAAACTGGCAATTTATAGCTATTTTTGTGTGCTAAGATTAATTAGCTGTGGTGGCCATCTCACGTTATTCAGCTATAGATACATCTAATGAGATTGACCTGTCATTAGATGCTGGGGAAATTAAACCTGGTGCAATATGATCGAGAGCACCAAGTCAACCAAGCCCTTTTATTATCAGTTTGTTGTTCAAATCAAGATGCAGTCCAGGCTTGTGGGAACTGCACAAAGGTCAAGTTTCAGTGAGGTCTATTATATTTTAAAAAGAGGAATAATATTTATTTTGATAGTAAGTGCAAAATTATCCAATTTCACAACAATGGAGTCACTTATCAAGTGTATTTTCCATTATAAGACAAACAGCATGGCATCAGTTTCTATTTCATGCACTTTCTGCTAAAATAATATTTGATAAGAAATGTTTTTCCATATGCACTCTAGAAATTTTTATTAAATAACCAAAACATTGTCAAATGCTACAGTGGTGGAGACAAAAACTTAAAAGTTCATGTGTGATTAGAGCAATGATTTAGCAAACACCTATGCTTACATAGTACCCACAAAAGTTTCACTATTATGACACTACCTACATTAGAAAAATCTTACAAAAACAAGCTAAACTGCGTAACGGAAAAGGATCAAAACTTAAAAAACAGGCAAAGAACTCGCCTCTTAAACATGAATATAGATTTAGGAAAAAAAAGAAAGCAATAACAAGCAATATAACAAGAGGACAATCTTTTCCCCTCTTACCACAACCCAAAACAGCAGCATAAGCAAAATGCCTTAAACCTGCTGGAGCCAGCACTGTAATAACCACTCTGCATCACACAAAAAGTCTGTGAATGCAAAACAAGCCGATGTGTTTTTAGTCATGGTTTGTCAAGTTTAAAAATCTAAAATACTACAAACATTGGCTACACAAACGCTACAGTTACACAGCTTTAAAATATGTCTATTACATCTCACCATTTTCCCTCATAAGTAATTGATGTTAAATATTTGTTTTTTTTTTGAAAACCATGTCCAGCCTGGAGTTGGGAGCACACTGCCAATCATTCTCTGCTTTAATTGATGTATAATTATCAGGCTTCATTCATTTAAACCAGGTGTGATGGAGTCGGGACACTTCTTTCAAATAAAAACCTGCAGGACGGTGGGCCACGAAAAACCGAAACATAACCTAAACATTGTAGAGTATATTCATCACACATTGTAGAGTATATTCATCACATCCTGTCTGGCTATACAGCAAGAGATTTATGTTGTCAGTGCAAATATGGCCTAAGAGAAAAGAGTAGTCACCAGCTTTACAGGCTATTAATACTGAGACTCCACAGCTTCCGTTTTCTATTAATACACAACCTGAGCTGGGTAAAGCTGGTTCATTCAACACAAGCCAACTCTTTCTGATGGCTACAAAAGATTCTGGCAACATGCATCACCTTACATCAAACAGGGTTTCTGCAGGCTTCACAAAATCAAACTTAAGACTTTTAAACGACCCTTTTAAGACCATTAAGAATTAAATTTAGGACGTATTTCCCAACAAAAAAATGCTGCAAACTCATCCCTTTGAAGCAAGTGATAAATTAGCATTTTCCCATGTTAGCGACAGCTYTTCTCCTTTTTCTGCATCCAGTGATGACTCGCCAAAAAAAAACGAAAGCTGATTGGCAGCAATATAGATTGTGTGTTTGTAGTGTAACTATATTCAATTGATAAATAAGTGTTGAAGGGTCATGTTATTGATCATTATAGGTAGTTACATTAGCGTTAAGACCTATTTGAAATAATTTAAGACTTGAAAGCAATAATTTASTGAATTTTAAACTTTTGTAAAGACTTTTCAAGACCCTGCAGAAACCCCGAGCAAAAAATGTTTTATAATCCAATCATAAAAGTTCATAAATCTCTGATCAATGTTTTATTAGTGATTCGGTGTTTCCTTTATGATGCTTAGATATTAAAGCAGATGTTACTCATGACACAAAAACAAGCCTGACCACCATCATCGCATTGCTCAACAATAAAATAATAAAGACCTTAGTATAGGGTGCTGTCTGTGAAGCAATGACAAACTCCATGCAGGTAAACTACTTTTGAAACAAAAAAGCTCAAGCTGTTGCTGCTCTGAGACCTATAGAAAGATTAGGAACCCACTTCACCCAGAAAAACTTTAGTTTAGAATCTATGAAAGCAAAAAATAAATTACAAGACATTTTTACAACATTTCTGAATACAGACTATGTAGACCTTGCATAATATGGAATCCAGTGGTCAGTGTTTGCAGAACCACTTGAACAAATCTGATTCATACAAAAGCTTTGAGTTACAGCCTCTGAACTGCACACAGACAGACATTCATTAAAATGTTAGTGGCTCAGATGTTCTGCTTTGTCTTATTAAAGACAGAAAATTAGATTCTATCTTCTGAGAAGGAAGCCACACAGCTCTTGACCTCAAAAACACAAGGCATTACTTCAGCAGAACCCAAAAGGTTTTACAAGTCCTCCTGCAGAGCGAAGCCACTGCATTTCAGACTGAACCAGACTCTGAAGCTGCCCGTTAAAAAAAAAAAAAAAAAAAAAGAACAATGGAATGAATCAGGGATGTCATCGCAGACACTTCCTCTGTTATGACACTTGACTGCCAGTAAAAGATGTTAAAGCATCGACTGGCTCTCGGGCGTGAACACACGCCCCCCACACACAGTGAAACTGAGACAAATGCCACAAAAACCAGACTGATAAACGCTGCAGCCAAGAGGGGAGAGGACAGTTAGCTCTTCAGGTTAATGTTGCATATTTTGCAGATCTATCCAAGTTTCACTAAAACAGAAATATTTAGATGCTACTCTCTCCACTGAGAAACTCAGCCCACGCCGCTCCATCTCATTGGATGGAGTCTGGCCTCCCTCCTTTGGATTAAGGCTAAACAATAGACTTGGGTTCTGCTCTCTGGTGACCATGGAAACAGGTGAAAGTGGAACAAAARGCTGTCTGGATTTAGGCAACACAGGTATTCTCTTACCCCATGCCCTGTGCAGAAAACCTGCCTCCTCGCCGTCCAGATACTCCTGAGGAGAAATTCAGAGTCACTTTTAGTTTGATGCTGAAACAAAAACAAAAAGGGCACAGGATACTTTAACTTTGCTCACCGACAGTTCCCCGTCCCCTGCCTCGACCCCTTCTACCTCGCTCTGCCCCTCTTCCAGCCACTCCAGCTTTTCCTCCATCCAAGCCGTTCTCCTGACCACGGACTTTTATTATAAAGAGAGAAAAACAACAAGATAATAAAACTCTGAACTGCATGTGGACCTCGGGCAAAAAGAATTTAAAATATGTCACACTGAGCACACAAACTTGCAAAAAACAATGATGCAAGCAAGATTTTAATTGAGTTTAGTTTTACATTACATCATGTAGCCATCAAACCAAATTTTACCAGCTGAGGTGCTGATAAAACAGTTCAAACAAATCACCAGCAATAAGTGTGTGGTTCCAAAATATTGCATTTCAACCGTGTTTATTCTTGTAAATAAACAAATTGGTGAAAAAACTGAGAAAAGCACAACAAGGAGTGTATAAACTCACACTCTCGCCCCCTGCTTGCTCCACGGCCCTTGCGTGGTGGTCCACCTCGACGACGTGCTGCATCTTTATCCCCTCCTTTCTCTCTGTTCTCTTTTCCTTCCTCTCCGGTTTCTGCCTGGCTGATTTCCTTTTGACCTGACACTCCTTTCTTCTTACCCACCATTTCCCAGGAGTCCTTAAGAAACCAACAGTGCCAAAATACTGCTTCAGTCCTGGGTCGTTTCTTAATAAGACGGTCTGAAGTTGCCAGGCATGGGCTACTGGCTCAATAAATACATCTTAACCTAATGTTAGTGTTTCTGTACATGGATAAATCCAAGTAAATTATCACTTCTTGTTTGTTGAAGATGGTGGAATTTGAAGTTGTGTGAGCCTGCAGCTACTTTAAATGAAAAATAAATTCAACTCATCAGCATTTATGCTCCAGCAAATCATGTTGGTTTGCAAACATTTCCTCCTCTGAGGCGATATCTTGATAATCAAAGTAGCTGATGTCTTATCAAGTACAATAAGACAAATTTCCACTTCATTATGGGTTTTCATTTACATTCAGACAGCTAAAATAATATTTCTGGACACACATAGCAAAGCTGCTTTAAGTACTTCGAATCTTTTTCATACAGAAAAAAGTTAGACACTTAGTTGATTAGTGCATTTCATTCTGAAAATGATGCAGGTGTCGAACGAAGCTCAACAACAAAGCAAAAGAATGCAGTGTTTTTGTAAAAAAAATAAGTTAAATTTTAAGCATTTTTTTTAAAACGTGATTTTAAAATGTCTGAAGAACAATTCCTATCTCCATWTTATCACTAAAGACGTATCTGTTCAGCTTGCCTAACAAAAGTTATCCAAGCCCGGGTAGCACTGATGTCTCTAGAATCTGCCCCCGGGACAAAGCATTTACTCACAGTGTCAGGGCTACCCTCCAGCAGCACATTAATGGCTCTGTTGACATCTCCGTTGCAATCATGCAGCGCGATCATCGACTCATCCTGGTCCTTTCCTGTGATGTCGATCAGCTGAAAGAGGTGGAGCGGAATCATGAGACACAGAAACGACCCACAGCGCGCATTTCTTTGGTATCTCAGTGGAAAAAGGAAACCATTCAAGCTATTATTATGGMAAATGTGCAAATTATTTAAAAATGAATTATAGTGTAGGAATGCAAGATTAGCTACAGAAGAAGACAACAGACAAAATTAATCAGGGTAACATTATAAGTGTCAATAGTTAACAGTAAATTCAGTCAACTCTGACACCTCATTATTTAAGTTTTGTAAATAACACATTGTAAGCCACCAAGCAAAAGAATAACTTTATTTCTATTTTTTGTTTTTGAAAGAAAGCAGATATTTTGACATGGCTAAAATGTCATGTGACAGCTGAAGAATTCCAGCAAAGTCACGAACAGCTTCCAGCTTAACTCATCTTAAATTAGCAAGTCTAACCTGCACCTTCTTGAATTAAAGAGATTCATTTCCTTGGGAGGTTATTGCGCAATTTCCTGCAGAATTAATAAACTTTGTCCTGCACTTTTCTAGAATAAACTCCCWAGTTAAAACAGACGCTTGCCAGTTTACCAAGGATAAACTGCTTAATGCAGTTTGCAGAAAATCAGCTGCTCACCTGTTTAACTTTTTCTTCAAAGTCTGCATCGTTGTGGTCTGAAATCATTTGCGCGAGTCTGATCTGCTCTGCGGTGGCCTGTTCCAAGAAAAGTGAAACATTAAACATTTGCATCGACAAAAAACATAAGATTTTTTGATTGTTTTTGTGGAAACACAGGAAGAAACCTATATTTAGTGTTTTAGGAAATCTTCAGATCATAAAGTAATTATAAGAAGATAAATTGTACAGGAAATCAATAGTTAACCATCAATGTATTTGCTTTCTCTTTCACCGCATTTTTATGGCAGAGCAGCACTGGAAGGACAAAGTTTTGATCCATTGTGTGGTTACTATTAATAAAGAAAAACATTATTTACATCACTATTAATAGTGTGCAAGTTTTCAAACATTTGCACATTTTTATCACACATAGATTTAAACACAATCTAGTATTGAAACTTTCTAGAGGACAGAACGTGCCAAAACATCTCAGCAATGGCCTGTGTGATGAGATTTCTCACTTGTTACTTAGAGTATAGTTTGTGATTCAGATTCTGCACCATTATGAGAATCATAGACAGAAATCAGAGATTTCCCTTATACCAAAAATTTGACTTAATTCTGCAGATTTACAAACAGGGATGTAACATCTACCACAAAACCCTAGAGAGGTTCAAGCTATGCAGAAGGTAACTGAAGTTTCCAAATGTGACGTGATAACTCTGCATACCACATTTTGTAGTGAACTCTGGTGCAAATCATGGTGGAYGTGTGCCGTGTGGTGCAGGTACCTGAGGCCTCTGCTTGTGCTGTGTCTGGCTCTGTGTCTGGCCTTGTGTCTGCTCCCAGCTGCCCCGGGCTCGGTTCCCGCCCATGGACGTCATCATTTACAGTATATACAAATAACAGTATTTACAAAGAAATAACTCCTGAGGAGAAAGGRAAAAAAAAGAACAGGAGAAGTGTTACAAACCTGTGACTTTGACCTTTGTCTGTCATATACGTGTCTGTTATATTTGAGTAAATACTTCCTCAACAACTGGTAGCAATATCATTTTATGTTGGGGAAGCAAGGAGTGCATCCAGTTTCATTCACAAATACAACAGAGATACATTTGTTTTTATTTCATTTCTAAGATGTGCATCAAAACTAGCACCTGGGATGACTCGGGAAAGAGACGTGCCTTGTTGCACACGTTATTTACCTAAAACACGACGCAACACTTTACACCTATCTGAAGCAAAATGTGGTTTTCAACCAGATGATTATAAAAATTCACGTTTGAGCTGCGTTTAATAATAGATAAAACTAAAACAGGAGCACAGACCGTCACGCACAGTTCGCAAAATTATTACTGCCATGTTAAGTGAAAAGTTAATCTTGCCCAGGTTACGTAAAACCCTGTTTTGACCAGCTTAAAAACAAACTCAGGGCCCGTCGATCGTATCCCACATCTAGTGGCCAGCCACATGGCCAAAATGCTAGCTCACTGGCTAATACTTGGAGGAAAACATCCTATATCTGAAACCCTTTTGGTGGGCTTCCGCTTCTCAAGGCTTCACCTCATGGCGACAACGAGGCTAACTTTGCAAGGCTAACACGGCTAACACAGTGCGGAAACCTGCGCATACAAAGCAACTCGTGTTAGCTCACTTAGCTTAATAGCCAACAGGTTAATTAGCTTATCATGTACTAGCAGGCAGGGAAGATTTAATACTCGAATGATTAAAAATAATGAAAAAAATTTAAATAAATAACGCCCATTAACGGTCGGGCAGTGAGTTACAAGCTGAATGCTAACAACTAGTAGCGAAGAAAGGTTTCGCACCGCTGGGCAACTTTAGCTTCGTTAGCAAATTAGCAGCTTATATACTGCAAAACCCAGAACCAATGTGGCCCGGGTATAATCCGATCCCGGAGCTGTCGACTTGGAAAATGCCGAGGCTTTAGGCAGGCCTACAGGCCGCTAAAATGAAAATAATAACAGGCGATACTGACCAGAAAAACCCGGCTCAATATTACACCAAAGCTACACGACACCGGCCGACAAGAGAGGGCTCGTTGTCGACCTTCTGTTTTGGATGTAAAGCTAAAGTTGTAATCCCTGAGCTTAAAGTGATTACAACTATTTTGAGAAAATATAAAATTAAAGAGCCGTGTAGCTMCCACAACAAACGAGAGGCTGAATTTACCTGTTTCTTTTCCACTCTGACACCACTGAGAACTGCGTCACGTGGTTCACAGAGCGCTTCGAGGAAACTGGACCTGCACCACGTGACCAAGCTACAGTTTGACGTGATCAACAGTCATAACAAGTCAAGACAACAAAACTAGAGCTAAATATGTGCTTTATAAAATAAATATCATAAATATTCTTAAGCCACAACCCACAGGTATCAAAATAACAACAAAAAAAGATATAGTAATACAGAGTCATACAACTTTTTAAGACATTTTAGCCGATCCTTCAATTTAAAACCAATGTTTACAATAAAAAGGCACATTTGTATGCCTGTCATGCCTGTCAAACTAATTGTTTTAGTTGTGTTTCGGTATTTTCCGCAAACAAAATTAAGTTACAACAAACGAGACTTACTATAATTTTTTTTATCTAAACAAAACATGCAGCTGTCCTCTCTGAGATGGGATCTCAGTTTCAAATAGCTGCAAATAGCCACAGTCWACGCATTGAAAGTGTCTGATAAAAGCAGAACAAAATACAGAAAACAGGAACAAGTTTCCAGCATCTGAAAAACACAATCTATCTGGAAATGGTCAGGTTCAAGGACTGAACCGAAAATAAGAGAAAGCTAAATAGTTATATACATTCCTATCTAAGAGTACCAACAGTCAATAAAATATATTTTTTGTTGTTAATTTTACTGTACTATGCAAAAATACAAAAGTGTAAGCATTTACAATTGTTTACAGTTGTAAWATGATGTGTGTCACATTTATTTTGGTATTAACATGTCCCACCAGTAGGGGGCGGTAATGCACCATGACGTTGCTCACTGCACGGCTGGTTGTTTTTGTCGCTTCAAAGCTAGCTAAAGCCCTTAGCTAATGCTAAACTGCGTAAACACTTTCATGACATTTATGATCTTAAAGAAGAGTTCCTGCGCGATTAATATGTACTTATTTATCTGAGAAAGGCTATTCTTAAAGCTGTGATGGGATCATTCCTTTGCGTCCGGTGCTTCTTTGTTAATTATTCTTAAAAATGAACCTATTAAATTTGGGATGTAGCCTTATGTTATTAAGTGAGTAAAAGCATGGCAGACTCGTCGCCTTTGTCCGGGGTTAATGTGGTTTTGGTGATGGCTTATGGAAGCTTGGTAAGTCACCGTTTTATAATATGTAACACGTAGTGATGTGGCTCTATTAGTAAAGCCTTGTTACATTTGGCTACTATTTTATTTATAATTACAGGTGTTTGTTCTGCTGTTCATCTTCGTCAAAAGACAGATCATGCGTTTTGCAATGAGATCCCGCCGTGGACCCCATGCTCCTATCGGCCACAATGCACCAAAGGTAAAGTGCCACGTAAAAAGCTGTTTCCCGAAGGCAGTCAAGTTTAACATTTACACAGTTTCCTTTTTTATTTTTCAGGGTTTAAGGGAAGAGATTGACTCCAAGCTGTCCAAGGTCCACAATATTCATTTTGAGCCTCGTCTCTTATCAGAAGAGGATGACAGACTCAGGCGGGGATCACAGATAAGTCAGTRATAGTTCATGCTTCCTAATTTATTGCAATAAGCATTTAGTTTTGTACCAAAATAACTTCCCGTACTTTCACAGGTTGCTACAACTATCTGTACAGAATGAAGGCTCTGGATGCCATTCGAGACTCAGGTGAGATCCCTGCATATAAGACTTATACCTTGCATTTTAAATGATATATCTACAAGTAGATGCYTCATACATCTAAAATCCTGACAGACAGTTTATTAAAACTTTTACCTAAAAAGCTTTATCTTAAAAATAATGATTGATTATCAGCAAGATAACAAATGCAYATTTGTTGCACATTGAAGCCATTCATACCTGTTTTTAGCATCTGATTGCTCAGAATGGAATTTAGCAACAGGTCTGAACAGCGACTAAGTTTGATGCAACCATATATACTGCATGCCTTTCAAGGGTGGCAAAACACCAGTGCACACATCTTTTATCAGTGCATCTCTAAAAMTAAATATTAAATTAATAATTAAGATCTTCACTTTTCTTAACTTGTAATACTGTGATCAGTTTTTTTTTTTTTTAAATAATGATTCTTGTCCCCTTGTGCAGCTTCATCTTTACCAACATTTTGTTCCCATKCAGGGATTCCTCTGCAGGAGATCAGTGGCAACCCCAGTGCGTTCACCGGTCGCAGCTTCAGGAACTGGCTGGTGGAGCTGCGGAATTCCCACTCCCTGATCAAGAGCAGCCGCAGCGCGCTCATTGACCGCTTACTGGAAGGCTACGACAACGCTCGCCACGGAACCGGGGTGGGCAAACATCCTCAGTAAAAACATGCAAACAGAAGCTATAACACATGTATGAGCTGTTCTCACTGATTTGACTTGAACTGGGTGTTTTAGATGTTCGGGGAGGCAGAGTTTCTTGAATACCAGCGAGCTCTAAATGAACTGCTGGACGTGTAAGAGCTGCTGTGCTTTTAGTTTTGTAACATTATTAGAACAAGTTATTCTAACGTTTAAGTGTCTTACAGTGTTTAGATTTTTTTTGTTTGTTTTTTTCCATACCTCCTCTAGTGTGAAGGCCTACTCCAGCAGCACCAGCCTGGACCAGCAGCACCAGTCTGCAGCCAAAGACCTGACGGGCTCCCCGGTCCGCAGCACCCCGTCCACCATCCAGGTCACCTACCTGCCCTCTACAGGTCAGCGCAGCAAGAGGCCCAAACACTTCCTGGAGCTCAAAAGTTTCAAAGACAACTACAACACGTTGGAGAGCACGCTGTGACAGCCGCACAACATCGGACAAAGCTACTGTTTTTTTTAAGTTGAGCTTTAAAACTGTAAATGACAGGTCAAGTTTGGAAAAAAAAACTGCATTTGATATTTTTAATCCTAATTTGAACCGACTGAATCACAGTTAGAGGATACATTTAATTGTGAATAACCTGGCAAAGACGTTATTCTCGGTTAAATCCAATTTATTTAATATTTGTTTTTACAAATTCAACGTTGGTTTCTAAGTATGTTTGTACAGATGTAGCATATTTATATAGACAATTATAACT